GAACGCGGCCAAGAAGTTCGCCGAGGCCACCGAGGCCTGGGAGGTCCTCGGCGACGACGACAAGCGCCAAAAGTACGATACGTTTGGCCACGCCGGCGTTGACCCGAACGCCGGTGGCGGCGACGGCTTCCACGGCGGCTTTGAAGACATCTTTGCGTCCATGTTTGGCCACCAGGCAGGCGGTCGCCGCAGCGGTCGTCCGCAGCCGCAGCGCGGCGCCGACGTCCAAGTCAACTGCCACGTCTCGTTCATGGAGGCGGTCAATGGTACCACGCGCGACCTCAACCTCAACACAGACGTGACCTGCGACCCGTGCGACGGCAGCGGCGCCAAGCCCGGTACGAGCAAGCGCAAGTGCAAGAGCTGCGGCGGCTCGGGTGTCGAGATCCTCCAGCAAGGCTTCTTCGCCGTCGAGCAGCCCTGCCGTCGGTGCCGAGGCGAAGGTACCTTTGCAACCGTGTACCGACTTGACTGATATCGTTTCCATAGGCTTTATCATTGAGACCCCGTGCACGAGCTGCCGCGGCCGCGGCAAGGTCAAGAAGGCGCGCACGGTCGAAGTCAAGATCCCGGAAGGCGTCGACAATGGCATGAACCTGCGCCTCGCGCACCAGGGCGAAGCCGGCAGCAAGGGTCCGCATATTCATCCTGCGACGATGGAACCTCACACGCGCGCGTAGGCGGTCCGTCGGGCCACCTCTACGTCTCGATCTCGGTGGCGAGCGACCCGTTCTTCAAGCGCAACAAGACCGACGTGCACTGCGAGGTGCCCATCTCGGTCGCCCAGGCCATCCTCGGCGGCTCGATCGTCGTGCCCACGTTGACGGGCCAGGTCGAAATGACGGTAGGCTCTCGCTCAAGGCATGTGCGTGACCTCATTTTACACATGCGCAGATTCCCAAGGGGACGCAGTCAGGCACGACGCTCAAGATGCGCGGCAAGGGCATCAAAGAGCTCAACTCGTCGCGCCGCGGGTCGCAGCTCGTGACGATGAACGTGCACATCCCCGACACGCTCTCCGCGCGTCAGAAGGAGCTCATGGAAGAGTTTGCCAAGGAAGAGCAGCTGCGTAGCGAAGCCGGCGAGTCGTCGTGCAAGACGCACACGTTTGCCGAGACGGTGCAAAAGCAGTCGATCGCATCAAGGCGTTCCTCAAGCCCAAGGACGACGAGGAGAAGGCGTGAGGAGGCTGCTGCAGATCGTCGTATACTGTATGCATGTTAACATAGACCGATTACAAGAGGAAGATGTCGTCTTTCGGGCGCTCAAAGATGCGCGTCTTCTTGCCCGGCATGTCGAGGAGCTCGTGAATCTTGGCCGTGCACTGCTTGAAGTCCTCGCTCTTCTCCCACGCCTCGTAGTCACGACGGCTTCGCCACTACGTACAAGGACGACGTGGCCTCAGCGCAATGGCATGACGAAGCCTTCGCAGCGTACCTCGGACATGACGATGTACTTGTGGTGGTCGTCCGTGTCGCTCATGGTCTCGACCGAGATGAGCCCGGGCTGCCGACGCACCGTCGCCTTGACCTACGCGTTCGCATGAGGCCTCGCTGTCGCTGCCATCGCCGAGGGCGTACACGCTCCATCATGCGGTGGACCGTCGGCTCGAAGCCGCGGCTCATGATGCGCTCCGTGAGCACGCGGACGGGACCCGAGGCGACCATGCTACGTGGGGCTGCTGAGGCAAAAGCTGTTCTGGCGACCGCCGGTATCTTCCACGGAATTATCCGGATGGTTCAGTTGATTGCCGAAACCTGCCTCTCTACATCTGCAGGCTACAGGAGCGCGACGCCGGCCTCGCTGCCTGGTAAACGCATGGAGTACTCTTCTCCGACGAGCGTCACATCCATTCTGCTGTCGTACCTCGTTGCGGCTCCAGGGAGCAGGCGCGATGGGTTTCGTCGGCAATAAAATGGTCTAGTTGAAGTTGGTGCGATTGCGCAATCCTGTTGGAAGCTCCGGCAGGGTGTCGGTTGATGGTTTTTGAGAGGATGAACGAGTCGAAGTAGTAGGTAGGCAGAAGGTCTGAGCCCTGCAGAGCCATGCGCGAGGCGGTAGCATGTAGTGCTCGCTTGGAAGACGCTTGGAAACTGCATGGTTTTGTGTTGATGGCAAGCTGCCTAGCTCGACGATGGCGGGCAGTGTAGTGCCTACGTCGGCTAGAAGTTGCGTTGATCTTCTCCACGCCAAGGCTTCTGCGCGTGAGTGAACACTGGCGTGCTCTGTCAATAACAGCAGTAACAAAGTCCGTCAAGGCAAGGATGACTGTAGCTGGTGATTGTAGTTGGAGTGCAACCCTGCTCAATTCGATTGTTGCCGCTGGGATGCAAAGTTCTGGCCGCGTGCCAGTCGCAGAACCCAACGCACAACGAATGACTCTTGGATTCGACAAACCGTTCGCCGACAATAGAGGGTCATCACCTTGCCACTGCCAATGGATATGGCACGCCGACGCCCATGTCAACCAAGGACCCTCGCTCACAGCACCACCATTGCTCTTTATTAAAAGCGCTCTCGTGCTGCCACGTACTTGCGCAAGAGTGATGGTGTCTCATACGCTGATCCGACGCTGAGCCGCGCAAGGCCAGAAGAGCGGACGGCGCAGCATACCACGCACACCTCTCGACCGCGAGGACTCGTACGCTGCGGCTTCTACCGTGCATTTGCCTTGAAGTACCGATACACATGTATGTACGAGTAAACGTCGCGCGGACGGCCACATCACTGCGGGTCCAGATTCAGGTTCCAGATTTCAGATTCCAGATTCCGACGTTGTGCGACCGTAGTTGTACCAGGTGCGCTGAAACGAAAGCGCATCTCGAGCCCGTGGCTTCAACACGTCGGCACAGCCGAGGCCCAACGCGACACGCGGCTGCCATCCATCAGAAAGCGGGGGCCGGAACGTGTCAATGAACTTCTTGAGCCAACTCTGGGTGCATGTAAAGAGAGGCATGATCCGTGCACCTCCACGCATGCTAATACGTCGTTCTTGCATGCATCATCACATTCGTGAAGGTTGAGGCGGCTGCTAATAATGCGGTCGACGCAACCAGTTGCAACGCCGACAAGAGCACGTGTAATACATAAGTTAGAGCCGCTACGACGACTACCGGCTGCGCATGCTCGGGAGGATGCGGATCGGCGCCGAGGCGATCGGGTCGTGCTGTATCCGCGACGCGTCCGCGATCGCAAGCGTCAGTGCGGTGACCCACGCCTTGCAGGCCGTCGCGGATGGGCAGCGGAAGTGGACGCTTGCGCCATGTTCCGACGTCAGCTGAAGCGCGCGGCCGCCTGGCATGCGACAGACGACCGTGCGCGGCGTGAGCACAAAGTTCCGAGTGCGCGCGGCTGCGATGGGTTCGAAGCAGGGTGTCACAGGTACCCACGCGACGCGGCCGCCTTCAAGAACGACGCGCACTTCGGTCGCCGATGCCCACCACGCCGTGGCGGGTAGTACGAGGATACCTGTCTTCGCGGCCACGGGTGCGGCCATGGATGGAACCAGCTGCACCTCCTAGCGCGTCGATATGAGTGCCCGATGGCACGTTTGGCGATTGAATCGTACCCGTGGCTCACTGCGCGGGCACAGCATGCTCGGGTAGATGGCCGCGTGGAGTGTCATCTTGGTGGTTGGCTTGGAGGCCGGCAACCCAGCATGGTCGTCCAGCGCGCTGAGGTTGTACAGACAGCCCGTCTTGCGCGAGAGGCGGAGCGGGCGCAGCACGGGCGATGGCAGCGGTGACCGCGTGATGAGGAGTCGCTCCTTGAGCTCGCCGCGCGCCTCGAGG